CTTGAGTCCTGGCAATATTTTTCCTATTACTGGTTATAGAGCTTTGATCAGGCCCAAAAAATCAGGCCTAATCCGACCCAACCCCAGAAAATTTGGGTTTATTACAAGCTGAGATAAACTACATTGTGCAAATAATATAGTGCAAATATGATCAAAACACCATTCATGTCAGTTGCATGCTTTATTAATAAAGTATTAAATATATATTTAAAATAAAATCTAATTCAGTCAGTGCCCCCTGCTGCACTACCACCAGACTACAGAGCAGCTTCTTTCCACAGACTGACTCCTCAACTCCACCTCGTCTTTTGCACTCCATTATAAATTGATTTATTAATTAATAGATTTTATAAAGATTATCAGACAGGGCAGGACAGGACAACAAAAATCCAAAGGGTAACATGTTAAAGTGAAAACGGTTATTTCTAACATGGTCCCAAGATGTTTGTTGACAAAATAAAAACACAAATTCAACATAAAAAAATAAATAAAAACAACATAGTCCTGAAATCCACAAGCACATTTCCACAAAATATAAAAATACAAACATCAGAAAACAATAACAGTGTAAATAATAATGCTGCACATTTAATGTATCAATCTGTTCCACAAAAAAAGTCTCTCTCATATTTAAAGACTCAGTGTGTAACTGAAGATATAGCACCATAGTTAAAATAAACAAACTTCTGGCTTCATTATAATTCAATAAATACTGAAAAATATTATTTAGCATCAGCTACAGTTTGTAAGTTCAGCTCTAAAAAAAAAACAAAAAACGTTCCTATCATTCATATTTTTTGCACACAACTAACCCTTACTTTATACATCACATCACATGCTCTTATTTTGTGATTTCTTTGTTTTTGTGCTTTATTGTGTAAATAAAGAAGAACAGAACGCACGCGGAGTGACGCACACGACGCAAACCAACCGAACCAACTCCCGGTCGTGCGTCATCTCCCGGCGCCCACAGGACCCCGCTTCGCGCCAAGCAGCAGAAGATTTCAGTACTTTTGTGACGAACTTGATCCGGAACCGCCAGAAACCTGTTCACAATGGTACGTTACTAAACCTCTGTGTTAGATACGAGCTCAGACTGCACACTGTCCACACACACACACATTAAATACAGTTAATCCTGTTAAACGCGACTCAAGTGCGCAGTTGTTGTTTTTTGTCAGCCTGTTTAATGTTTAATTAAAGTTAGCGAGTTTAAACTAAAGTCTATCTTATTAGGCTCTTCTAGTTGCGACAAAGTTTAACATAAGTGATGCACACTTAAAAAAAATAATCAATGCCAGAAGTGACATTTGTTTAACTGTCAAAAATCAATTTGCATGTATTATTTTGTATAATAGTGCAGCTCTGTGCTCAACAACAAACAGTGTCTAATTAACAACATGTCTTACATTGTCTGTGTGCACACAGGACATCAGGCGGTTCTTTCAACCAACTTTAGCCAAGCCTGCGGTGCAGAAACCTGCCCCGAATGGAGACGTCAAAACAGAGGACAAGAAGAAAAAGAAGAATCCTCTCTCTTCGGACGAGGATGTGAAGAAGAAGAAGAAAGAGACCGCCAAGGTAAGGGGGTAGTGACGTCGTCTGTCCTCTTTCTTGCAGCGATTCCTCTGTTTCATCCTCGTATTCATCGTGTTTCACCGTTTCTATTCTTCAGGTCAAAAGCTCCAAACCAGACGAGAAACACAAGGATAGTGATAAAAAACGAAAGAAGCGTGCAGTCATAGAATCAGGTATTTATGATTTTGTGCTGCTGCATGATTCGTCTGTGCCGTGACGCTTTGTGCCTCTCGCGTTATGAGTTTGTTTCAGAAAAAGGTTGTCAGGCTTTATTTAAAACGTGCAGCAGGTTGTTCTTATAATGGTCGCTGTTGTTTTGAAGATGTTTCTAGGCTCATAATCAGGTTAAATTACTATTTTGTGTCACCTCACTTCACTGTATGAATGCTGAGCTAATCTAAGAGGTGGGATCCAGAATTGCTGTGAGAGGCACAAACTCTTTGATCAGCTGCGAGTGACAGCTTGACGCGTTGCTCTTCATCCCCCCTGCAACCTTTCTTCATGGCACATCTTGTTTTTCTGTCTGTCCAGACTCGGAGGATGAGGAGGTAGCGAGGAAGTCAAAGAAATCTCCCAAAGAGAAACAAAAGACGAGCAAGACTGAGCCACCACCCAAAAAAGATCCCGTGCAGTATGTCTCTGAAACAGGTGACGCCACTGTGTTTTATTATCATAGTGATCGGAAACAAATGTTGTGATTAACTGTCGCGGTGACTTTGATGACGATAAAGGGAAATATATATCTTTAAATAAACCACTTCTGAGGAATTTCCTGTCCTTGCAATGACTCTAATTCATTCATTGTCAAGAAATGTCCTAAAAAAATGTTTAAAATATTTTGAAAATACATTTCAGCAATTAAAATTAAAAGATTGGGGAGACTGAAACACATTTATAAGAAGATGATTTCATCTTTAAGATAAAGATAAGATGTTTAGTTGAATGTATTCTGATGGGATGTTCATCTCTTTTTGGTTGTAGACTCCGACAGTGACAACTTTCAGTCTTTGAAGAAGACCTCCAAACCCAAGCAGAACGGAACGGCCAAACCAACAAAGTCAGAGGCAGCGAGTGCTCGTCCAGGAGCCAAAGAGGGAGTGAAGTCTCCTGTTGAGTCCTCCTCCTCCTCCTCCTCATGGGGGAAAACTGCAGGGAAGTCTCCTGTCACCCCTAAGTCGGCCCCGCCTCCTCAGCCCAAACGAACCCCCACCTCAGTACTCGATTACTTCGGCAATGCGGCTGTTCAGCGCTCGGATAAGAAGCTTGTAGCCAGCACCAAGCGAAAGGCTGTGAGTTCAAACCCTCTCGCTCCTCTCATGTACTTGTTTTTCATCCTTTCAGCTCTCTATATCCATATATGTATATATTACAGTATCAAATACGATTCCTGTTACAACAAACTGACTTTAAAAAAACTCGTCCTCTCCTCAGCCGACTCAGGACACCGATGATCTGATAAGTGATGAGCAAATTGCCAGAGAGCTGCAGATGGATGAGGACATGGAGGTTGGTTGCTCGTACTTAACTTAACAAATTAAGACAGATTGGTTGATTGCTTTTCTTTTAAATGTATGATTATAATCTGAATATCTTTGGGTTGTACACTTAGTTGGGTAGAACAAGCCATATGTAACGTTGGGCTTAGGAAAGTATATAAATGACATTTTCTGTTCTACAATTTTTAGATACATAAATGATTAATCGATTAATCTGAGAAAACAATCTGCAGTTTAATCGACAATGAAAACAAGCGTCTGTAGCCTTACTGAGCAGTGTGAGGGCTGGAGCTTTGATATAAAGGTTTACCTCCCAAGCCTGAAAGTTTACAAGTTATTATAATTTATCTTTTGGAGAATTACTGAAATTCGAACTAATGATCTAATGTTTGCTTGAATACTTGAATGTAAAAATCCCAGGAATAATACAATACGTTTAAACCTCATGGTTGAGCCCTCTCTTTTTCCACGCTCGTGCTCTCATGCTTCCTCTCTCCGACTTCACTCAGCTGGAAAAGCAGGTCCACGAGGACGAGGAGTTTGCCAGAACACTGGCCATGCTGGACGAAGAGCCTCAAGCGAAGAAGGTAATTAAATAAACAACAACACAAAGGCACATACGCGTTGGATGTTACTGGCTGTTGAATATAATTTTTTGAATGCGTGTCCTCATCCAGGCTCGTAAAGGCTCTGAAGAAAAACCGGCCCCTACCACATTTAAGAAGAGCAGCCCATCAAAGACCAATCTGAGGGGCAGCATGTCGGAGGATGTGATTAGTCCGTCTCCAAAGAGGAACCCTGTCAAAACCAGCTCCAAACTGGCAATGATGAAGAAAAGAGAGGAAGAGAGAGATGAAGGGCCAAAGACCAAAACACCAATTTCACCCGCAAAAATCAAAATCTCTCCCAAAAAGGAGCCCATCGCTTCGTCCAGCTCACCCAGAAAGTTCACACCCAAAACAGGAACCACACCCACCGCAGTTAAAACTTCTCCCAAGAAACCAGAGGTGAGCAAAGGAGCTTCCTTATA